AAAAAAAAAAAAAAAAAATATCTCTTAGGAAATTTCTGAACCATTTTATTAGGATCTTCCCCCATTTTGTCCAACCCAAACACCAATGTTGATGAAACTATTCATGTTCACTTAGATTTATTTTGGCAAATCATTTTGTATAGTGAATACGTCGTAATTAAGCGCCACCACATAACATACAAGCGCAGTATTACCGGTAGACATGCCCGGGTCCGACCCGGCCCAAATTTTGTAGGTTCGTTGAACCAGAACCTTGGCCATGTGGGTCGGTTCCTAGGGGCGGACACATACCTTAAGGACAATAGGTGGCACAAACTACGGTCGATGGTCAACGCCAAAAGTCAACGGTTAAATCACTATTTGACCAGCTAAAAAAATAAAAAGATTGACAACTTGTTTCTTATTTAATAGCTAGAGTTGAGTCTCTAATACGCATTTTAATAATAGGGACACATTTGATTCAATCTCTATAAATTGTGTACATATACATTTATGTATAATATTTATTTTTTATGTATTTTATGAGGGAAAATGAAATAAACAAAAAGTTGAGTATAACATATAAGCATAAATTTCACAACTTAAAAAATAACATACAATAGAAGAAGGTTAAATATTTCTAAATATTTCATTTTTATTTTCTATATTGAAATAATTTTGCATAATAATTAATAACATAAATTTTTTATGTCAATATAATAATATATTTATACATACAACATATACACTATATTACACAAAATTTTACAGGGGCCCGTAGGGACGTCCGCCCCTGTCGGTTCCGGTTCTTCATTTGACTTTTTTGGTCGCAGTTCGAGCTGGGACCAAAAAAGAAAAATAATAAAAAGCAAGTAAGTAAGTTGTGACAGTTAAAAACCCGTGAATGGGGTTTAGGAGTCCTTATCCATGGAAACCTCACCAAAACCAATAGAAAATCATCCTTGTAAGAGATATATATATATATATATTTTTTTAATTATTATATAGGGAGATGCTACGGTTCCGTTACGGAACCATTCTGTCGGGTTGTAACCACTAGATCAACTATCTCTGACGGTCACATGATGGTCTAATAGTTACAAATCCCGACAGAATGGTTCCATATCGGGACCTTAACATTTTCCTATTATATATTCTTTCACGTGAAAACCCAATAATTTCTCATGCAAATTAATAGTGGGGTCTTTTCACTTTGTTCTCTTGCCAAAGCCAAGCCACAAACTCTCAAGAATCTCCACAAACCCACTTTCTCCAAATTCTTCTATCTTTTGCCCTCATTTTTCTCTTCTTTTTTCTCATTTTTTCTCTCCAAATGGTTCTTGGGCCATCATCAATGGCTTTTCTAGTTGTTCTTGTAATTTTGCTCATTAGTTGGAGTAACAAAGTGTCTGGCTATGGAGAAAAGGAGCTTCTTTCATTCAAGAAATCTCAGCACACAGTTGCAAACTACAGAGATGGCCGAAGTTGCTTCTATCGAAATTCGAGTAAGTACGAGGAAAGTTTACGAGCTCTTACAAAAATAAACAGCAAACTTTTAGTAATCTGAAATCTTACATGTAGTTGAAGGTTGATGTTTTTTTCTTTTTTATTTGTTTTTTTTTCCATAAAAGCTAGTTTTCATGATGACATGCTTTTATTCCAGGCCACACATCCTAGTTGTAGTAAGTATTACCTGTTTGAGGGTAATGTTTTATTGGGAAATGCTATGATACCGTTACGGAACCATTCTGTTGGGGTTTGTAACCGTTAGATCATCATGTAACCGTCGTGGATAGTTGATCTAACGGTTATAAATCCCCACGAAATGGTTCCGTAACGGACTTGTAACATGTTCATGTTTTCTTAACCCCTTTTCCCTCTTTTACTTGCAACATTTACTATTGAATTTATTAATCCTCTCTGATGTGGATTAATTGGATGTGAACTTCCTATTAATACTCTGTCTATTACTCTTAATGCTTATATTAAATTCATGCTAATAAAAATATGAAACACTGAAAAGCTACCATCTTTATTTGCATAGGAACACAAAATGGTGCAACCATACTAGAAATGAAACAGAGAGACTCCTGCACCAGCCCGAAACCCAGCCCGGCCCGAAACCACCAAGAACTCCTAACAATAGACGACAGCCGAGTCAAATCCATCCAATCCCGAATAAAAAACACACTCACGGCCCAAATCCCCATAAACCCTGGCCTCAACCTCCAAACACTAAACTACATCATCACCATCACACTCGGCGGCCGCACCTCCACCGTCATACTCGACACCGGATCTGACCTCACGTGGCTCCAGTGCCACCCGTGCCGCCTCTGCCACCCTCAGCCGGAGCCCCTTTACGACCCCTCCAAATCCCCAACCTACGAACCCGTCGCCTGCAGTTCCCAACCCTGCAGTTCCCTACTTTCTGCCATTGGCAACTCGGGAGTCTGCCCGAAAAACGGGGGACCAACGTGCAATTACGCAGTTACCTACGGAGACGGGTCGTACTCACGCGGAGACCTCGCTAAGGACGATTTGGTCCTCGGGAGTAATAAATTCCCTGGCTTTGTTTTCGGGTGCGGGCGTGAGAATAATGGCCTGTTTGGCTCGGCATCTGGATTGATCGGGCTCGGGAGGAGTGAGTTGTCGCTCGTCTCCCAAACGTACGACGAATTCGGCGGAATCTTTT